CCCCACCCAGTTCTGCCTGAGGACTCTGTTTGGACCCAAGACACAGCTCAAGGGCTGGTTCTTCTAGGGAGCCTTCCCTGATCCTTCCTGGTTGTGCTGATGGTCCTCATTTGTCATCATGTTTCTTATACCCTGGAGATATTCTGTAAATTTGTCTGCTTCCCCTTCCATCAATTCCGGAGGTCAGGGAAGGTCCAGGGTCATATCTGCATCTCCAGTGCCTACTACGTGTTAATTGGCTGGCTGAATGCCAGTTATTCTAGGCAGTTCTGTTCCCTTCTCCTTTCTTACTTATTCAATGTGCAAGCAAATAAGTTCTGCTAATAACAGTCTCCTAAATAGTTCTTTATACTATTTCTTTCCATCTTAATTGCCAAACTTAGCTTTGGGCTCTTCCCAGTAATAGAGGAAGGGTCTCTAACCTGATAGTGCAGTATAGGAGGCTATCCTATGAAAGTAATTCATGAACTTGAAAACAAAAACAACCAAACAAAAAGAGTTACTTTGTTGAACAAAGTAACTGGGTAAGTACTTAAGGTAATTGGAAAAGCATAAGCAAAGTTACAGGCCTGTAAAACAGTTTGGTCTGTGTGGGGAAATAGGAAGGTATTATTATGTATTACTAAAGATAAGGAAATATGCCAGGCAGAGATCAGTTTGATGAGGTTGGGAAGGAAGGTCCATGTGGAACCATTAAGGAGGTTGGGCACAGGGACTTTCTTTTTTTTTTTTTTTCCTGTATGTGATAAAATAGATATCTGTTCAGTGTACAGTGGAAATACAAAAGAGGGAGTGAATACTTGCACCCGAGGGGTCACAGGTTTTACTCTATTTCCATTTTTTGTACTCCCAATAGCTGCTATTTGTTTCCCTGCTTGTGGTGTGCCTAGCACAGTACTTTACGTACATGGTCTTATATAATCCTCAAACATCCCTGAAAAATGGGTGTTATTACTTCTATACAGAAGAAAAGGAAGCTCAGACAGATTAATAATGTTCCCACGGTCACACAGCTGAAAGCTAGCTCGGATCCGAAGAGGTCTTAAAACACTAGATTATAATCTCCTAAAGAGAGTTACTTTAGGTCAGGGGTCATGTCTTATGTTTCTGTGTACCCGACCTAGGTCTTAGAAGATGCCTAATAAACGTCAGTTGAATGAATGAATGAATGCCTTTCACTTTCTCCACGAGAAAAGCACGTGGCGACGTCACAGTGAAACCTCCCAGACATGAGGGGGCGCTGTACCGATTTCAGCGCAGTAGGGTCGGGCTGCGCACACCTAGCTCCGTCTCTCCCTTGGCTGGAGCTCAGCCAATCCCTGTGCTCGAGAGAACCCGCGGCCAGTGGGCGGGGTCACAGAACAACGCCCCGCGGGCCGTCGGGAGCCGTGACATCCGTGCTCCCGGCTAGCGGGTGGAGAGCGGGGCCAGGCCGAGGAGTGCGGGCTGGGCCGCAGGTGAGCACGCGGGCCCGGAGAGCAGTTACCTTCTCTGGAGCGGCTGCCGGGGCCGCCCGTTCCACGATGACGGCTTCGGGCCGCGACCTCTGAATTAGGGGAAGGGTGATAGCGAGTTTCTGCTCCCGCGCTGGCCCGGCCTAACGGAGCCCTCTCTTCCCGGAGCTTGGTTGCAGAGTCTGGGAGCCCAGCCGGCCTTCTGCGGGTTCTTGGCCTCAGGCACCCGAGTGAGGATAGACGTTGACAGGGCCAAGTGTGTGGTGGGACGGAGGAAAGAGGGTAGCTGTCTGGACCTTGACCTCACTTGCGCTTCTAACCCTGGCTGGGCTCGAGTGGCTTTGAGAGCTCATTCTTCCACCTTCTGAGGCCCCCCTCTGTCCTTAGCAGTTTTCCAATTTGAGAGTGCATCTTCGGGTCCCACTGGACCTACGGGGCCCAGGCCCAGGTTTCTTGGCAGCCCGTTGATCTATATTGCATACATTATTCCTCCATTGGAAATAGTCGTGACAGTATTTGAGAGACACTTCTGCCTCTTTCATTTTGATACCCTGGGGTTGACTCCATGGAGTCTCTAGTTTTCGTTTAATCAGCAAAGACATCTGCTGTGTTCCTGCCACCTTTTGAGGGTGGGTGGATGACTGCTGTGGTTTTACCCTAGTGAATTGCTTGAGCAGTCTGTCATTCATTCAGTGAATTCGTTCAAGCTTCCCCCACCTTGACCAATTTGTGCCAGGGAGGTTGGGAGAGGTGGAGGGATGGATAGGACATAGTGGGACTGGACTGATGGATATGGTCCTTGCTCTTTAGGAACTTTAAGGTGTTTTGAGAAATTCAGACAAGTAGGGCAAGCCAGCACAGTGCCCACACAGAGAACATGGTTATAAGTGTTCAATAAATGAATAAATTGACTTATTTGGAAATGACTATAACATAAGCAGGAAGACAGAGACCTTGTATTGAGAGAATTTTAGTTGTAGACTTGTGATTGGTATGTTTTAGGACAGATTGGAAAGCTCAGTGGAGCTGCTGTTTAGAAAAAGTGTTTGCTTAAAAAGAGAGAATTTGCTTAAATGACAGGAAATAAAATGGAGACGTGTTAGGTTTGGGATTCTTCAGGGTGTCTCTTTTAACAATGTCTTAAGAATTTTACAAATTTCTCAGTATATCAATTTACAAAAAGGGAAGCATTTCTAGGTAATAAATGCTAAGTTAATGGGGAAAAACTGCAGGAGGCTCTTCCTAAGTCCAAAATTTGGACAGAATCCATACAGGATCTGCAGTGTGTTCTTTCCACCAGAAAAGCACAGGCTTTGAAGTTAGAGAGATCTGGGCTTAAAATCAATGGGTCTATCATTTCTAGTGGTCTTGAGCAAGTTAACAATGCCTCTTAGCCTTTATGGCTTTAGACGAAAATCTGGGCTACCTCACAAAGACATTGTGAGGGCCAGATGATGACTAGTGTATAAGTTGTCCAGTGTAGGGTCTGGTGCTGAGACAAAGGACTAGGAAGGGATTCTTGAAGCTGCTGCAGTTTTCTGCCCCCATGATGGTCCATTATAGTCTTAGGTCCACAGAACACTTGGATTCTGAAAGGGAGAGAATGAAAGAATAGATTATCTTTTCTTTGGTGAGATTTTGATTGTTACTGTAGTCCAGAGATAGGCTGGGGAAATATCCACAGGAGCACAGACAGATTTTTAGTTGGGGCTTTTGGGCAAGTCACTTAACCCTCTGATAAGGCCATCTGTCTTAGGGTAGAGATGAGGATAAAAGAGATAGTTTATGTAAAGTGCTTAGCCCAAGCCTAGCTATAACATGTGCTTAATAAGTAGTAGCCATCATTATTATAATTGTGAATGATATTTGATAACTGAAAACCCATTTTGTTCCATTGTCCAAGGTGTAGAACACCTATAAAAACTTAAAATTGAGCAACAAATATACTGCTTCTGGTAACTTTGAAGTAATTATTGTTTTTAGAAGTTTACTCCTTTGAGAAATGAAATAGGTGAATGATTATATCATTTGAAAATATATATATATGTGTATTTCACATATATGCATAAAGGATTTATGAGCTCTAGAGTATGATTTGCAACCTATTTTATAATCTTGTGTCAATATCATTGAAATGTTTACAGAATTGATAACTTGGGACTTCATTGGTTAGTATCAATAATAATCATTTGTCACTAAATGGCCATTAAAGTGAGCCCATTTGTGTGTGTGTGTGTGTGCGCGTGCGTGTACGTATGTTTGGTACCTGGGATTGAACCCAGCAGTGCTTTAAACACTGAGCCACATCTCCAGCCCCTTTTTATATTTTTTTTAGAGATAGGGTCTCATTAAGTTGCTTAGGGCCTTGCTATGTTGCTGAGGATGACTTTGAACTCCTGATCTTCCTGCCAAGGCTCTTGAGCCATTGGGATTATAGGTGTGCGACACTGTGCCTGGAAATTTGTGTGTTTTTACATTACTCTGGCATTGTCCTGTTTCATTTCAGGAGGCCCTAGTACACTTCCGCTCCTTTTATTTTCTGCCATGCCTTGTACAGTGTTTTTTTACAGAGAATTTTCAAGTCCTGGGTCCTGTGATGCCCAGAGTATATAATGGTTTGTGATATTTTTAGGAGTTTACTATGTAAATGTAAGGAAATGAGTTTGATTGAAGATAGTATATTTTGAAGAAGGTTTGACCAGCAGATTTGGGAAGTATAGATTAGTCCCAGTGTTAGAAAATCAAGTTCAGGATAGAAATAAAACCTTTATTTATCTCACACTCAGAATAGTTAGGTGATGGATTATGGTTTTGGCTGTTTTGATATGCTCCTTGTACTTTACATGAGGAAGAGGAACTATTTTCTCATTTATTGAGGAGGTGGGAGATGACAGTGGGATTGTATATGGTCATTGTCTAATTTTGTAGAACAGAGAAAGGCTTTTTTTCCCTTCCTAATATGTTGGCAAACTGGAGGGTTTGCGGGGCTGTGGTCCACAAAAGGCTTGATGCTCAGAGGTCCCCTTGTGGGGAGCACTGCCATGCATAGGTGCATGGTGCATGGGATAAAGATTCTTTCCCTCTTCCCTAATAATTGAATATTTAAAAATTTCCTAGATTATTTCAGGGACCTGACTGTGCATAAAGCATAGTACCCTCTGGCATTACTCTGCAGCAGCTGGCTGCTCAGTAAATGGTGCCAGGAAACTTGGTAAGTGGTGTGCCCTGTGGGTTGTCGATATCTGGTGGGTTGTGGGTGTTTGTTTCTCCCTAATTCTACCTTATGCTCTTCTGCAGATGTCATGTGGCCTGTGTTTTGGACCGTGGTGCGTACCTATGCTCCCTATGTCACATTCCCTGTGGCCTTCGTGGTCGGGGCTGTGGGCTACCACCTGGAATGGTTCATCAGGGGAAAGGATCCCCAGCCAATGGAGGAGGAAAAGAGCATCTCAGAGCGCCGGGAGGATCGTAAGCTGGATGAGCTGCTGGGCAAGGACCACACTCAGGTGGTGAGCCTTAAGGACAAGCTGGAGTTTGCTCCCAAAGCTGTCCTGAACAGAAACCGCCCGGAGAAGAACTAATGGAGGACATAGGGCCATATGGTCCACAGGGCTGAGACTGGTTCTGCCATGTCATCCCAGCCCCAGAACATACATCTGATTTGCTTTGCTGCTTATTCTGGCCCCTCCTGCACCCCACAACCACACTGTACTGGCTGTTCCTTTTTGGCCAGGCAGGCACAACAGCAGCTGAGGGGCCAGCAAAGAGGAAGGCTGCATCTGTTGAATCAGGTCCACAACTGCTCAGGCTTCTGGGCTTACGTGGGTGCACTGCACAGAGGACTGTTATGGAATGAACATTGGTTCTCAGACTACCTGGGGAGATGGTTTGGTCTCAGGTGGGAGGGCTGGGATTTGGATGTTGCCTTTAAGAGGGGTCCACACATGTCAAGTTCTAGTTTGCACTGGGAAAAGTTCAAAAATCTACCTGGCTTCCTCAATTGATTCACCCTCTTTCATGTTCATTCTTTCAGAAATTCTGTTAGCTCAGGAATGGGATTCTCCAGGGAAGGAAAGCATTTTTCTGTTGTCAGAAGCTCAGGCTGCTCACCTTGGGACAGGGAGGAACATGTGCCTGGTGAATTTGCTTGAAAACAATCACTGTCTTCCACTCCTCACTGATGTGTAATGAAAACCTTGATTAAAGTGGCAACTGAGCACCTGTTGATTGAATCCTATCTTCTAGAGGCATTTGGTATCTCCTTAGGAGTTAGGAAGCTCAGGCATTCAGGTGGGACAATAGTGGTGTTCAAGGACTCCCAGGGGCCTGGAAGCCTTGTTTCAGGTGGTTCACAGCCTTGGTAGTTGCTGTGAATCCCAGAGACCCAGGTTCCCAAGAGCCTTTTTACTATGACAACAAGAGGCTATAGCATCATCTAAAGTCCAAGTACAGAAGATGGATGTGTGTATGCATGCATGCACATACTACACATGACACCCTTCTCTTGAAAAGTAATATATGCACAGTTAGAGAAAATTTGGTAGGGATTAAAAAAGGTCACCCATGCTCTCAGTGCTCTAACTACTGTTAACCTTTTGATATCTTCACTTCTCTAGTTTTTAAAGATATAATTTACTTTATTATTTTTTCATGTTTCTCTTGTTTTTAAAATTTTTTTCAGTACTGGGGATTGAACTCAGAGCTTTTCACGAGCTAGTCAAGCACTCTACCACTGAGCTATAACCTTATCCCCCCTTTTTAGCATTGTGACCAGGGTCTTGCTAAATTGCCCAGGCTAACCTCAAATTTGGTCACCTTTGGGCTTCCACCTCCTAAATAGCTGGGATTACATGCATGCCTTACTATGCCTGGTTACATATTATTTCTTAAAGTCATTTCCATCATATACTGTGGTTATCATAATTTTTTTAAAAAAATTTCTTTTAGTTATAGATGGACATAGTATCTTTATTTTATTTATTTATGTGGTGCTGAGGATTGAACCCAGTGCCCCACATATGCAAGACAAGAGCTCTACCACTGAGCCACAACCCCAGCCCTTATAATTGTTGTTTTTTTTTTTTGTAGTTGGACACAATGCCTTTATTTTATTTATTTTTATGTAGTGCTGTGGTGCTGAGGATAGAATCCAGTGCCTCGAACGTGCTAGATGAGCACTCTACTGCTGAGCCACAACCCCAGCCCCTCCTCATTGTTTTTAATAGTTGCATAATTGCCCATCAAATGGGAGTATGGCAAAAGTTTATTTTAAAGATTCCTTGTTGGTGGACATTTGAATTGTTTGTTCACAAATTTACATACTGCAATGAAGATCTTTTACAAGGCTTTCTCTGCATTTTTGAGTTAATGGTAGGAAGAGTAAATGGTATTTGGATAAAAGAATTAAGTTTTGAGGGTTTCTGTGCATAGTTAACTAAATGTCTTTCCAAGAAGATTGTAGGAGTTTATGCAGAATGTTACCACTTAAGATGTTGCCAGTGGGATTGTACAGGCTGCAGAGTAGAGGGCTGGAACAGGCATAGGATCTTGTTGCCGAGTGGTGAACCACCTAAGTGAGCAAGGGGATTGTAAATAATGAGCACTAGACAAAGAGGGAATCTGTGTCCTTGCCCAGCTTATCAGGTTCTCTCTCCCCAGGACCTGATGGTTTTAACTAGTAGGTGAGGCTGGAATTCCTCAACAGGTAGAGATGCCAGCTGTGGAGAGGAGGAAGCAAATCCAGTGAATGGCTTCCCCTCCGTGTTGCTGAGGCCAGGTGGGGTTGTTGAACTGAGCTGCTGTTGTCTCCCAGGGAAGGAATCCCATGAAGAGTATGGGGGAAGATTGCTAATTCTGTAAAATTAGGGTTCTGAAAGGATCTGCTAAACTCAGTTTCTGGTTACAGACCACCTGTGGCATGCCTCATGACAGACCGGTGCTGCCACCCTGTGGCAGACCTGAGCATCACCAGGCCTGGAATAGCTCCAGGGGGCTAAACCAGGAGCAAACTTGATGCCTACAGGTCAATCAGAGGGCAAGTGAACAGTAGGCTAGTCTGGCTGGGAACTGGAAAGTACAGCCCTGCCTAGAGGGGGCAGTAGTGATTCAGCTTTCAATTTGTGCTGCTTGCACAGTGGCACGAGATTTTCCATTTTTTTCTTCAAAAGATGCTGGAAATTCAATGGAGTTTTAATTTTTTTATTTGTGAAAACTTATGTTTCGTTTTGTTTTTTTAAAATGTGACAGTTTGTTTTTAAAAAATTAAGCATGCTAACACACTTGCAGGGTTAATTGGGCTAGGGGCTGCCAATTAGTGATCTTTCAAAATGCCCTTCTCAGGATGTAGCTTGTAGACTGCTTGCCTGGCATGTGTGAGGCCCTGGGTTCCATCCCCAGCATTGGAACAACAACAACAAAAAGCCCCTCTGCTAATGACATGGCCTAATTCATTTTTTTAGTTGTCTAACATCTTGTAACAAATATCAGGTCCCATAATTGGTTTCCATTGAACACTTTTGGGTCTCCTGCACATGCGCAGTTTAATATCAACCTAAGCAAAACATTTGAGGAAGGAAAGCCACATAAATGATAGAAAAAGATTTTCCCAGAGCCATTTTTAGATTTTCAGATATTTTAAAACAACCCTGTCTCTGCTGGTATGCCTCCTACCAATGCCTCGCTAAGGAAGCCCTATCTTTAGAAATGCAAGTTGTTCCCTTCTTCAGGCTCACTTTGATTGTGCCCCCTTTTAAATAATTTCATTTCCTAGGGCAAATCCTGGCGGAATTTCTGCCTCCAGCAAGTCTATTAATATTCTCAGCTAGATCTTTCTTTCCCACAGACTGGCTGAGATCTAGTGCCATAGTGGCTGTGTATGCTCTCCTGCTTCTGTGCAGGTGACATCAAGTAGCAGGGCTAATGTAGATGTGGGTAAAGACAGGTCATGGTTGCTGGGGTGAATCAGGGCATGGACTGGTTTTCTTCCATGTTTGCTGATTCACCTTGAAAGCATGTGATCCTCTCTTACTGGTCCCACAGTCACAGTTCATTGAAACACATTATTAAGTGGCTGAGCTTGGAGCTCTTTGCTTGTCCTCTACTCCCCTAGGTTCTTTTTTATCTTTATTTAATTTATTTATTTATTTATTTATTTTTTATTAGCCCCGTGATGGTGGTGGCTTTGGAGCAGGGTTATCCTGTCTGAGCATGGCAGGAATCACTTTTCTGCCTTCAGCGGCTCAGTGTCTGGTGCTTTTCCACTCTCGTCCCTTTCCTGTGCCTGTTGCTGTGTTAGCATGTCAGCTGGGTAGCTGCCAGGACAAACCTTCCAGAGAGCCCTTTGACTCTTGTCGGCTTCCCAGGGCCCTGGGCTGGTGGGACTGTTGGCCAAGTGAAACAGCATGGAATTAGTCCCACTGAAGTCTGGGTCGGGGGCAGTCAGCTGGGATGAAGAAGGCTCTGCCTTGCCTCGCTTGTCCTCATCCATGTTGGCATCGGTGTCTACGTATTTGTGGAGTGCTGAGCCAGGGCAGTGTGGTAGAATGAGAGTAAAATGGGTTTTGGAGGTTGGCAGACTTGAGTTATGAACAATGCTTCAACAACTAGACCTTGGTCAAGTCGCCGAAGCCTTTCTGAAGCTCAGTATCCTCATTTGAAAAACATATAAGACTTTTTGGAGGTGGTTTGAGAGGGGATAAGGTAGTGTATGTGAAGTTTTAGCACAGCCCATGGCAACTAGTAGGTACTCAGTGAGTGTTAGCTGCTTTAATTTTTATTGCAGAGAATGCCTATATTTCCTGCAGTTGTTGCATGTACCATTGTGATCCTGGTGAGTGGGAGAAGAGAGCGATTTCAGCTGGTGACCCCAAGGACCCTCATAGGCCTGGTGGTTGAGGGCTTCTTAGGAATAGTTTATGGAAAGGACTAGTTTTCCTAAGAATCAAGCTGACCCGGGGGACTACAGCCTTTAGACCTGGTTACTGAGTAGTACTCCACAGTGTGGTCTGCAAAGGCAAGAGGTGAGAAATGGGGAGTAAGTCATCCAGAGGTGTTCTGATCCAAGAGGTCATGGATCAGGAGAATGGGAAGACAGAACCTTGGACTTGAAGGCAAGAGAACTGGGAGGCTTGGGGATGCTGTCCTTTCTCCTGGCCTTTGGTTTCTTAGCCTGCAAAATGGGGTGCTAAAATGTTCCCTGCTAGTAGCACAGGAAGAGAAGCCGATTTGAGTATTTTGAAGACATGCAAGGGCTGGATGTGCTGACCCAGGAAAACTTCTCTTTTATCTAAGTGGGATGGCAGCCAATCTGAACAATAAAGTATAAATACAAGCTCTTTTATTCCTTTGCTGTTCATGGTCTCTTTTAAAAGGATTTGTTAAATAGAAGTCTTTGGAGGATTCAGTGTGAAGAGCAAAGAATAATTATTAATTGGTGTATCTGTTTTCATCCTCTTCCAGCAATGCCTCTCATGTGCTTAAAAATTGTTTTTTTTTTTTGTGCTGGGGACTGAACCCAAGCTTCATGCATGCTAGGCAAGTGCTCTACACTGAGCCACACCCCCAGCCTGGTGTATTCTTTTTTAATTAAATTTGTTAACATTATCTGTTAAGCCACTTTTACATAAAACTATGGCTTTAAACAATGGCAAATGGGCCTTCTAAATTATTGAGATTTTAAAACAATGTTTAGCATCCTGGCAAGGGCATGGACACTTTGAAAGAGTCCAAGGTATTTGCCTTATGCCCTCTCTCACTGCCCCAAATGCTTCACATCCACCTCCATCTCCACTATCCATTGTTTTTCTTTTTTTGGTACTGGGAATTTAACCCAGAAGTGTTTTACTGTTAAGCTACATCCCTAGCATATAATTTTAATTTTTTATTTTAAGACAGAGTCTCACTAAGTCGCTGAGGCTGGCCTTGAACTTATGATCCTCCTGCCTCAGCCTCCTAAGTTGCTGGGATTACAGGTGTGCCCTGGCTCCATTGTTCTATTTCCTTTTGAGCCTGCACTGCCAAGTGCAACTGGAGCAATTTGTATAGTTCACTCCAGGCACTCTCCATTTGTGGGTTCTGGATGCAACACAATCTGGAATGCTTCACAGTGATCATTTTTTTTAAATGTTTTTAGTTGTCAGTGGATCTTTATTTTTTAAAAATTTATATGACTCAAACCCAGTGCCTCACACATGCTAGTCAAGTGCTCTATAACTGAGCCACAACCCCAGCCCGA